TCATCTGTCTCGCGCTTGGTTGTCCTGACCGTATTCGTTTTGAATACGACTTTGTTCCCACTTGTCTAGCATATCAGCATCAAGCACCTCCCCGACTTTATCGAAATTGCCTTAATGTCCCATCAACTGGCTCTATCCACGCAAGACCTTTCGGTGATATTTCGCCAGCTTTATACAGTTGTGCCTCCATTCCTCCGTCGTCCGCTGACACTCATGATTTGAGGAACCACTTTGTACGGCCTTCCCTCACCACTCAGCTCTCTTCTCCTTCGTCAGCAGCCTCTGTCATAGGGGCATCCGTTAATTTATCTTCATCCTATTCTACTATAATCTCTTCTTCCAGCCTTAATACCGTTTATTCATCTGCTATTACATGCGATGAAAGCTGCAACAAATGCTCTCGCCTCAGCCTAGATCCAGACGGTGAAGGTTTGGGACATGGTCTGCGACGACTGCTACATTTGAACGCCAGTGACTATCTCAACTTTGTTCATAACTTCCAGGTAACTAATTTGCTATATTTGAATATAATTTTAAATTTGAACTTGATTTTTCTTTTGCTACTATTTGAACCTAATTATTTCTTCGAGTGACATGTGTATGCCTATTTATACAAAGTTTTCATTACAGATGCCACTTGATAAAAACCTGTTTTGCTTTAAATCTCATACTTCACTTTTAACCCCACACTTACATTGTAATAACTCGTTTGTCTTTTGGTTATAGTATCTTGCTTTCTTATTGCGTTTTGTATATTTATGATATCTTAGTCTCGTAAAACTGGAGACACACCTAGATTATTTAGATGTTTGAAAGGTAAATTACTTTGGATGAATGTTGCAAACGACTTACACATGAAGCTTTCACCAGCCTTTAATTAAAACAAGTAAGACCGTCCACCCCGTTTTTATTAGGATTGAACTATTTGGGATATCAGGATTTTGAATAATCCCTCTAGATGAAGGATCCAAATATTTTTGAAAAGAATTCCTGAACTAAGAAAGTACAATCCTGCTTTATACATGGGTTAGCTGCCGATTTTAGCTGTTTACCTATCTTCTTCATAGGCTGACCAGAAGGTGAGATCAGAAACTTATAAGAATTGTATTAGTCCTTGTTTTACTTTAAATATCTATTTCCTCTTATCCGATTTCTTTCTTTCTCTTGGTTTATGCTAGCTAGATGCACGCTTGTTAATATCATTGATTTTACAAATTATGCTCCAAACCCATGTTTGGTTAGAAAATTAAATAAGTACGCAGTTGTTAGTTTCCTATACACATTGAAACCCTTATTTGCTTACAAGAACATCCTGAAGGGGTCATTTATCATTTTTACCTAATTCAATAATTAATTCACTTGTTCCATCTATTATTATCACTAATCTAAGCAATTCTTATAGAACCTCGTTTCATTTTTGCCGAACGGCAATTAGCCTTCCATTCACAGGGGCCAATAGACATCAAGAAAACAACCAATGCTGATTATTAATACCGAATGTAAACATTCAAGCAGGTAACACTGATTTTTGGATAATTTTGGCGAAAATGAGTAGGACGAATCAAAGGGCTCTAAAATTTCGAATGACTAATAGGCTCTGTAGGCAAGAATGCGATCATACTACCCCATCTAAACGCATGTGATTGCGTTCTATTGCACGCGTGTTTTGTGAATGCATTGCTCTTGAAATGAGTGTGATGTGAGCGTCAAAACGAGATTCGAGCATAATCAAAGCTTCTCTTGCTCGGTGGTACTTCTCATAGTGGGAGTCTGACTGTCACAGTTAGATTTCCGCTGGGGATGTTGATAAGACTGATGCGAGGTCGAAACTGCAATCCACCCTGGATGATAGCAACTTTTGGGAAAGCAAGGCTATGTGAAATTCAATGGAAACGTCAGCTCTACTCATATTATTGTGGGAAAATTCTACTACCAGTCCTTCATCACCTTAAACGAAATTGGGTGAATACACATCATATTAGACCAATCTATCCGGTGTCCTGTGCAAGCCTTGTTGTCAGCCAATTCCAATTTATGAACCCACACGTTTGTAGGCTGCTTTGTGCTCGGTCAACCTCTCATGTATGAGACATCAGGACTATTTATAAGGAAAAAATAGTACTTTTATCGGTATTACCTTCTTTTCTAGAATACTCTGACCCTCTCTCCATATCGAACTGTTACAAGATTTTGTGTTCATGCGGTATCGTATATGTAGAAGAGACCTGTAGGTTATCTTAACACAAAATAGCCTGCAAAGGTCTGTGGGTCCAAAAATCGGGAACGAGGATTATCACCGAGCAAGAGGAGGCTTGATAGGCTCGAATCTGGTTTTGGCTCTCACATCACGTTCATTTTTAGAGGAATACATGCACACGATACGCGAGCAATGGAATGCAATCACATGCTGTAACATTGCAGGATCAAAGGCATACATGGCCACAATTACACCCGTTTCACGCCTACTCTGCACTTCACATCTAATACACAGCCACTTAATTTAACTTTTGAGCATACATTTACGCAAAACAGGATATCCAACTAAAACATGCCTAACTGGACCAATTTGGGCTATATGAAGTAAGTAGGTTTGAAGCCGGCCACTTCATGCCTTCATGTTTTTGGTTAATTACCTTGAAACATGGTGTCCTATTTTGACGATGTCCGTCACATGTCGGACGACAGCTCAGCAAGTATTCATTGGGCTTGCAGAGCGGTGCGCCGAGGACCTATTAACACAAATCTACAATCACAGCTCCGAGGCAATCCTCTTACATCTTCCGCTGTGACCAATTCACCAATTCACCAATTCCTTCTACTTGTCTCTTCAAACAAAATAAAAGACACTTCAACATCCAAATAAGACCAAACTCTAGTTTACTATATATATTCAGCTCACTTACATTTCGAGTGAGTGTTCGGCGAAAAGATTCGAATGCAGATCCCACCAGAAGACGACGGTGGATCCCTTTTGACCAGTTGTCGGCTGGCTTTTCTGGAATATTGTTGTTATTATTTTTTCGGATACAATATCAATCGATTCCAGCGAAAACGTGCCAGGCTTTCGTCTGCTGTGTGATGGACATGATCAGAGCAGGATATTATTCTTACAATCAAGAGTTCAGAAAATGCATCAGTTTATCCCTAAATGCTGTATATAAACCCTGTATCTAAGTTATTTGATGAGGTTATAAGAATGATACCCTATTCTGATGATAGGGCGGACGAAAGCTTTACACGTTTGCATCGACAGCGAAGGAGATTCCCTCGAAAGCTACGTCAACAAGAATGTTCGAGTTAGGCCAATCGACAGCTGGTCATGAGGGATCCGCCGTCGTCTTCTGATGAAATCGTTCTTCGGATCCTCTATTGTTTCCTAGAGGATCACTCTACTTGTGAACCTTGGGAAGAACGTAAACTGTGGGGGGTCTTGCATCTCTCTGGAGTATTCAATTCATTTTTGACTTTTTCATTCAACCATTACTTACTCATAGCCATTAAGCCATCTTTCAGCCTAGTCTTAGGTTTCTCAATTAGATCTCTCATTAAATCACGTCTCGTTTAAATGAACTAACATTCATTCTCCATAACTTGATCTATCCATGACCAGGCATAGCCATATATTCACCGGAGAAAATAAACTTTAGAAATATGATTTTACAAATGTACCGTGACATCTTATTCAGTATGATTCTGCAAAATGAGATCAGTAGTAGACTGCAGTTTCGACCTCATCTAGGTTATATCGGCACTCCCAGCGGAGTATAACCTGATTATGGCAACGCCCATTCTCGTTAATCACTACACTACTTTTCATTGAGTACCCTTAGATCACAGAACAGACAATAATTTCAAGTAAACCATGGCTATTAAAGGGGTTTTGGAACGCACCTAGTCCGGGGTCCATTGTGTGCATGATCATTTCCAAAGTTGAACCGTGGAAGTGATACATTACCAAACGTTTCGTCGGTGAGTATCGCCATTCTTTACACCACACAACAACTCGTCAAAGAGACAAGTGAAGCCGATCCTTTGACCAAACTTGTGCTAAACAATTGTAGAATCTTCCCGCTTCTGCCCTGGGTTATTCGCATTTCCGGTGTGCTCCTATCATGCTTTCACTATTACAATTTTTACCGTGTTTATTCAGATGGTGTAGTGTGCTCCTTTGAGCGACACGACACCTTTATACTTCAACTGTCGTTCTCACCCCCCCTCTTCATCCTTGTGCAGGGAATGTTGATCAGAGTCTGCTTTATTATTATTATGCAGTCCTCTTCC